GCCCTGCGCGTTCAGCTCCTCGCTGATGTCCCTGCCCATCTGGCGGGCCTCGCTCAGTGTGGCAGCACCGTCAGAAGGAGCGGACCTGCCGCGGCGGGCGCCGCCGCCGTCCGAGACCAGCACCTTGACGCCCTGGGTGGGGTGGTGCGGTCGTGGGGGGTGGGGAGGGTAGGGCAACCAAGCTGAGTGACAGCGCAGGGTCGGAAGCGACGAGACACATTCTTAATTGGGACAAGAGCTGCGCCATTCAGCAGCGTAAAGCAGGCCCGTGCGCTTGCGTATCAGCGCCGCCACAGGCCCGCGGCTAGCACCCCAGCCTCAAGGCAGCTGCGGTTGGCGGCGCAGGGCGCGGGCGCTGTTGTTTGGGTTTCAGCCGGCGGCGGTATGCACCACTGCCGGTGCTGCCGAGCTGAAGAGTCGCTCGAAGACGGAGCCCGCGCGCCACCCACCCTGCCGCCGTTGCTCCGGGGCGAAGGCGTGCCGATCATGCTCAACACCTCATCCGAAATTGGGGCTTGATCGCCGCCATCGCCGCGGTCGCCGCCATCGCCGCGGTCGCCGCCATCATAACCGCCGTCGCCGATGCCCTCCAAGGTGCTACCGCGCGCGTGGCCGCGGCCACGGCCCCTGCCGCCCCTGCCGCCAATGCCGCCCCTGCCACCCCTGCCGCCGGCACCTCTGCTGAAGCCCCTGCCGCCGCGCTCCTGCTGCTGCCACTGCTGCCGCTCAGACGCGGGGCTGCGGGGTGCCTCTTCGTCGAGGGACCCTCCGCTGCTGAACAGGCGCCGGCGCCGCTCCTGGTCGCGCGCCCGAGGGCCGCCCTCGCGAGTCGCGGGCCCGGAGCCCTCCGCGGATGCGACAGCCGTCACGGCCAGCGCGTTGCGGCGCATCGGCCAGCGGCCGCATGATCGCGGCTGCGACACGGCCGAAGCACGGGCGCCCGCTGGGCATTGCGCCCGCATGGCGCCTTGCTGCACTGAGACGGTGTGCAGCGGCAGCCACTGCACGGGCACGCGAGCACGGGCAACAATGTGCCCTGAGGCTGGCTTGCCGCGTATGTGTATGTGAACCAACGTCTCAGGCACTGAGCTATCGACGAAGATACACCGTGTTCGATGCGAGCTCAGAGCGGTCAGCTCAGGCTGCAGGGCCGACGGCGTTCGTTGCCAATCCACAAGTGCAGTGGAGCTGGAATGATGATGTACGGTCAATGTGCATTGATATCACCGTCGGCCTGCGACGACGAGTGATCTGTCTGTTCTGGCAGTGAGGGGTCTGACAAGGATGACACACAGAGATGAAGAGATGTGCCAAGGGTTGGTACGGGCGCTCGACCTTCTGTAGGAAACAGCTGACACCACTTGATATCTGTCCCTGAAAAGCACAGAACGTGACTGTTTCCATGCTCGCTTCTGTTTCATCGGCAGGCCATCACACCCCCCAACACTTGCACGCTCAGCCCCCAACATGAACACACACACACACACACACACACAGCCTTCTGCCCACAATTGCTGTACGCAAGAGCACTCCAACCCATGCATGGATCCACACAGGCCAGCGCATGCGCATGCACTTGCAGCTCTCGCCGGGGGGGTGGGGGCGCACACACACACACACACACACACACACACACACACACACACACACACACAAAAACACACACACTCTCTCTCACACGCCCTCACGCACTTGCAGAGACGATACTGCAGGTACTGATAAGCGTAAAAACACAGGCCGAGTCGCAGAAGAGTTACCTCAGATGGTGCAAACCAATTCAATAGTTCTCTGTCCCTCAATCCCTGTGATCACAAACGCGGCAAAAACCTGTGCGCCATGGCGATTCGCAGCGAGCCCGCTCCACTGCAACCTCACTAGCGGCAAGAGGAGGGCAACCTTTGCGCGCGACGCAAAAAAATTCAGAGTGCTGCGGTCCCGGCATGCGGCGCTCCCTTTTGTGCTTCACTGCACCGAGCACTGCGAACTGTCTCTTGCACCGCACCGTTTTGGCCTCAGATTCGTCTCACTGGCGACCCTGGCCCCAGCATTTGGCAAGTGCACACCGGCTGCAGGCCATTGCACTCGGGCAGCCACACCGCCGCAGCCGTCGGCGCGGCCCACCCGCGACCCGCAGCTCCACCGCACGCCCCCTCCCGTGTCGCATCCCCAGCCGCGTGCCGCCTCACGCCGCCTTCGCCTTTTCGGCGCCCGCGGCAGGCGCGACGGCGCGGCCGCTTGGCTGCGACTTGGCGAGCGTGTAGAGCATGAACCCGGCCACTGACACGAGGTATCCCCCCAGCTGTGCCCCGCTGACGTGCTCGCGGCTGACTGCGACCGAGTACCAGATCACGGCGAGGTTCTTCAGGCAGCCGGCCACCTTGAAGGTCAGCGACCCCGTGCTGCCAATGGCCCAGAACGAGGTCAGGTTGACCAGGAAGCTCAGGGCCGCCGCGTAGGCAAGCTCCCCCTGGATGGGCGCGAGCGCGCCGGCGACGCCGCGCAACAGGAGCAGCGGCCCCGTGCCCTCGGACACCAGGCTGCCGCCGATCAGCAGCGCCGCCGCGGGGAGGGAGACGTAGACGAGCGTCTCGACGCTCGTAAAATGGTGCGCGCTCATGAGGCGCTGCGAGCCGACAACGCGCGCCGCCTCGGTGAAGCTGCTGCCGACGAAGAACAGGGCGCCGAGGGCGCTCCAGGAGGGGGCGCCCGTCTCCACGAACGTGGCGCCGCTGCAGCCAGAGGCGAGGGGCACGGGGGCAGACGTGTTGGTAGAGAAAAGCGAGGCTTTTGGTCGCGGCAAACCCCCAGGAATCTGTGTAGATCGCTGGCTAATCCCCTGTCAGAGGGATACAGTACACATACAAGCTGCAGCCTGAGGCGCAGAACCGCGGCCCAGGCCACAGCTTGACCAACCCCTGCAGCTGCCGGCCTTCCCAGCCCCCAGGCGGCCTTGGCGCTCACCCCGTGCCGAGCGCGATGAGCGTCACGCTCGCCAGGAGTGGCAGCGTCAGCCGCTCCTGGCCCGCAATCACGGCCAGGACCAGGGTCACAGCCGGCGTCATGGCCTTGAAGATCTGGGGGCGGCGGCCCAGGTGGGGTTGGGCAGTGGTGGGGGTGCGGGGTCAGCGGCAGAGCTTGCGGGCAACCCTGATGCGACAAGCGCCAGCTGTGGTTCGTGACTGCCTGGCGAGGCCCTGGTTGCAGTGTCACGGCGTGCGGTGCTCCAGGCGGCTGCGCCCACGGAGGAGCGGCATGCTGCCTCCGGAGCTCAACGGACATGGCGGACCCTGGCTGGCTCGGCCACAGTAGCCCATTCGGGCAGGCCACCACAAGGCTTGGCCGACTCAGCACTGAGGCTGGGCAGCAGCCCTCCAGCCGTTGACAGCCCTGCAGCCCACCATGATTCAAAAACCAGCGCTGCAGCCATAGCCCCTTCGCATCGACACGGCACCAGGGCAGCATGGACATCGCAGTCACACGGCCTTGAAGCGCCCTCCCTCCCATCAGGGCTGCCCCATCTTAGTTTCTCCTCCTCACCCCCTCCCCCGTCTGCTCGCCCCCCGCGGTCCCCACCTGGATGAACGCCACGCTGAGGTGGAGGTAGGCCGCGTTGCCCAGCCACATGGTGAGGAATGTGAAGCCCCACATGGGCCCCAGCGTCGGGACGAGCCAGCCCAGCGGGGGCAGGCTGCGGCTGCGCTTGCCAGACAGCCACCCGAGCAGCAAGCCGCCGAGCGCCGACGCCAGCTGGCCCACGCCGGTGACGAACATGGGGTACGCAAAGCCCTTGGAGTAGACGCGCTTGTTGGCGATGATCAGGGCCGACGACACCAGCATCCAAGACAGCGTCGACGCCAGCCCGACGGCCGCCGACCGCGCGCCCACGCCCGCCATCGCGTCAGACCCTGTGCTGCCGCTCCGTCGCCCTCGCCGCTGAGCAGCCGCCGGCGCGCGGCAGGGGGGGTGGGGCTGTTTGTGGCCTCACTGCTTTGGCTTCTGGTTGGAGTACTGGAGAGCGAGGGCGACAGACCAGCTAGTGAGGCGCAAGAAAGTAAAGACCATCGGCAGGAAAGCAAACAGGTAAAGCAAGTGCGGCCGCTATGCAGCGCGTCCCGGTACTGCAAAGGCAGCAACCGCCAACCGGCAGTTTGCTGGCGAACTTGCAAAAGCTGCAACAGCGTCATTTGCAGCGCTGGCGTGCCTGCCGTGACTATCTCGGCCTTGGTATGATTGCCGCGCACTAGTCCCGGCAGGCCGGCGGGCTGCTGGCGCCCCGCTGCTGGCGCCCTGCTGCTGGCGCCCCGCTGCTGGCGCCTGCAGGCCCACCTTGCGCAGGACCCACTGCGCGCTCTCCCGCGCGTGCGCCGCCAGCTGCTGCACGCGCTCAGGGTCCCCCTCCTCCGTAAAGTTGGAGAAGGTCTGCCGGATGTAGCGCGCGTAGTAGCTGCGCGCCTCCCTGCGCCGGGCAAGGGCGGCTATGAGGCCCCGCCGCAACCAGAGCGTCGAGCCGGCGGCGGCAGGCACTCGCGCCCTGCTCGGCGCAACCAACCGCCCTGAATGTGCGGTCGATTGGCGACACGCCCGCACCTTGGCAGCTGCCGCGTCTGCCTAAGTAGCTCTCTGAACAATGAAAGGGATTGCGCTGATGCGGTCATGCCCCGGAGGCCTGAGAGGCGTGTGCGCGCAGGTGGGGAAGGCAGTGTGCGCGATGCTGTTGTGCGGGCCGCTCTCCAGCGCGCTTGTTGCTCTCCATTGCGACCGGTTGTGGTGCACGGCTATGGCACCGTTCACACGCTGATACACGCCGCTGCTTGGGAGGTGTGGCAACCCCGCGCCAACCTACCGTACACTGGTGTGTCAGATCGTGTGCGGGGGCGTAGCCGATTGTTCTCCTATTGTTGTTTAAAACTTTGAACGATTGCAAGGGGGCGGACAATCAGCCGTCTTGTTGGTGGTCGGCCCAAAACGAGAGCCTTGCAGGTCGGACACCACCTCGTCCTGATCATCACCTTCAGAACGCGGCGCTGGACGCATGCGACGCAGTAGTAGCTACCTAGGCTCAGGCCTCTTGCGCCTGTCTACAGTCGCAGCAAACCGTGGGTGTCGGGTGTGCGCAGGGTGTGCGTGTGGGTATCGCAGTGCCGCCACGGGTGCGCGTTGGTTTGGCAACTTGCACGCATGCTTTGGCAGACAACCAATGTCAGATCACCCTTCTTAACCGGAAGGTCCCTCCCCATTCTCATCGGGACCTCTACACAGCCTGGAGCGCGGCCGTGCCCGGCCATGCAAGGGCAATAGCGTCGTCGCCCTCGCTGCATGCCTCCGCCCTGGCCGCGCATGGCACCACTGTGCTGTGCGTGCGCAAGGACGGGGAGACGGTGATGCTGGCGGATGGACAGGTGGGGAGCGGCACGCAGCGCGGCCTCGGCATGCACGAACAGCGGCAGCGCGGCCTGGAGCATGCAGCACATGCAACATCACCATCACTGTGCAAGCTTTGCTGATGTTGGGTGCTGAGGTCGCCACGCATGCGGGCCGCGGGCCTGCAAGAGTCGCCGCTCGTTCAGTACAGTACAGACACTCCACGGCCGAGCCTCGCCTTGCCACCATGCTGGGCCCCTGCACCACCATGCGTGGCGTCCTGCCCTCCTCCCCTGGACACCCATGCGGGCCCCTCCCTTTGCGCATGCCGCTCCCTGTGCATCAACCTCCGCCCCACAACCTCGTGCTTGTTTTCTTGCTCGGCCACACCCCACCACCAGCTCACCCTGGGCGACAAGGTGTTGAAGCACAACGGCCGCAAGATCCGGCGGCTCGCGCTCGGGGCGCTCGGCGGCTTTGCAGGTGCGCAGCTCAGCGGGTCGCGCGCTCTTAGGGGTACTGGACCTGTGGCCGCGAGGGGGCAGGTGGAGGGGGGAGGGAAGGAGTGGGCGTTCCGAGCCCGCTTTGGGCGGGCCGCTGCTGCTATCGCGGCGCTGCGGGCGCTGCGCGGCTGCGTGCAGGTCGTCAACGCGCGGCGCACGGTGCGACCATGGCCTGCACCAGCGACGGCAGCCCCCAGCTGGGCCACGCCGCGTGATGCCTGTGACCAGCGGCGGCCGCCCGAAAAGCGCGCCGCGTCCCCACCGCCCCACCCCCCAGGCAGCACCGCTGACGGCCTCACCCTGTTTGAGCGGCTGGAGGCGAAGCTGGAGCAGCACCCGGGGCAGGTGGGCGGAGGGACGCGGCGCTTCGATAACCATGTGGCGTGTTGGCCATATGAGATTGTGGCATGCAGGTGGTTGCCTAGTGCTGCACGCTCGGCTGAGGCGAGCAGCCTCATCGCTGCCGCGCGCTTCCGCCGGCGTCGGCAACACCTGCGGGTGCCCTTGTGCGAGGGGTGCAATCAGCCGCAGCAGCAGCTGCCCAACAGGCCCCCCTGCTACTATCCCATGCTTTGACGAGCCCAGCTGCGGCGTGCGGCCGTGGAGCTGGCCAAGGCGTGGCGGCAGGACAGGGTGCTCAGACACCTGCAGGTGGGCGGGGCTGCGCCGGGGAGGCCCGGGCTCCGGGCACAGGGGAGTCGGGGGCCGGATAACCAGCATCGCGCAGCGCCGCAGGACGGACCACCCTCGTGTAAGGGGCGGCCGGGCAATGAGCGTTGAAACGCGGGCGGTCACTTTCCATGCGGTGGCGCGCCGCCCCACCTCTTCCTGCGTCCCCGCGGCTTTGTCTGGCCCCGCTGCCTCACCCACACCCACACACCCTTTTCACCCTCTTCAAACCCACCTGTGCGCCATCCCCCGCTCCCACAAGAACCACGCCCCAACCCCTGGCC